CCCCAAAACCCCAAAACCCCTTGAGCTAGAAATTTAATGAAATTAAACAATCATTAATATCTAATCATACATTTTCAGAAAATGAATAATTAAAATTGTCATGCAACAATTTCTTGGCTTAACTTAACTTCGATTCATTATGCATATTTACCTGATGAATTTTGTCAGATCCTCTACTACTAATTCTCCCTAAACTTATCTATCCTGTACTTAAAGTGTGCTAGATAGCCTAGGGATCATTTTAACCTTTTATCTTCATTAGTTTCTTAAGTGAGTCAATTTAGTGTTCCTTCAGTTCAATGTCTCTTCTAAGATATTGAATCTTTTAAGAATATAACTACTCCTTTTCTCTCATCTGGTCTTAGAATTCTAGTATGCATTTTTATAAATGAGAGTTTTCCTCTTCGAGTATTTAATTTGATTTACTTTTAATTGAGTTTAATTGGTGGGATAATCTCTCATTTTACTCAAATTATCTGATAGATTCTTCATGATATCTTTAGTTCTTCATCTCAGATATTTCTAGCTGATTCTTAATGTTTACAAGTTATTGCTCTTAACCTATTATCAACTCTCTTTCCTGCTATAATTAGTTGAATAGTCTGATGAAATAGTTATCCTAATCTTGCTTGTCTTGTTGAGATGTAGAGTAAATAAAATTTGTGAATTGCTCTTTACAAGAATTTAATTGCTCCAGAGTCTATTGTATATATTTAAACTAAGTTGACTACACAAGTGTAATTTCCCAAAAATCTCTATTATTCATATAGTTATCTAGAACTCGCTTGTAAATTCTTTTCTTCATTTCTGAGTCACCATCTTTATTTTTATTTTATTAAAGCCTTCTTAATCTTCGAATAAATATCAAACCAATAGCAATTTTCCTAATTTTTATAAATATTGATTTCCCTTTTAATTTCTTAGTATAATGATCCTCAAACAGTGACTCATATCCTTCAACTATCATCTCTTATTTTATACTCTGCTGACTTAGGTATTATTTTTGCAAAATTACGTTTCTGATTTAGGTAAAAGCCTTGCATAAAATATCCTTTATAAGTATTTGCAGCTCGCTCATTTCTTAAATATTCTATTCAAGTTTTCTAATCTTATTCTCTGATTCAATTTCTTACTTTTATTTTTCTATTTTTAATTAATGAATAATCTCTAGCTACTTGCCATTTTCACCTTAAAAGTAATCTAGCTTCTTTTGGTTTTCCATCATTACTTGAGAGATATTGTTTTTATCGTACTAGATTTAACAAAGCATTTTATCTCTTACTTCTTATGTTTCAGAGACTTATTAATGAAATTTCATATCTAAATCCTTGAGTTTAGCTATCATCTCTTGAATCGATTTATTTAATTATTCAATATGCTGTTCTAAAGAAAAATCTTGCTTGCTCTATTTACAGCTATTTTTAAATAACTGAGAGTCAATCTATTAGCACAAATTAACTAGAAGATTCTTTAAAGCAATTTGCTGTCTATCTATTTACTTCTCTTATTCTATCTTGGTATTCAAGTCATGCTTAGTTTACCTGATAACCTCCTCTTGCTTTTTTATTTTTTCAAGTTAATCAACTATTAGTTCCTAATTCTTATCTATAATCTTTTGTAAGAAATTGCTGTTTTCAGTAGTCGTGCTAATTTTTTCATCTTATATCATTTTCTAAGATTCTAGTTGTCTTTTCTTGTCTAATGCATCTGTAATCCAATAGTCCAAGCTTTGAATTAGGAATCTAATTTACTAGAACCCCTCTAATTTTTAAGTCTCCGACATCTTAACATTTATTTTCTGTAATAGGAATTGCAGTTCATCTGAAAACTTTTGAATCTCATGATCATTTTGAAAATCTCTTTATTCATAAATTCTCAATTCCTCCATCAATTTAGAATTTACCTCTTTATATTTCAAATTTTCTTTAATTATCTCGTAATTCTTAGTCTCTTATTCAACTATAGCTTGTTTCAATTGAGTATTGTAATCTTCCACATTTTTGAACGATGATGCCCTGCTTTGGAATTCTTGAAGAATATTGTCTTATTATTGATAAAGATTCATATTCTTAATCTTTTCACCCTCAATTTCTTTTTCAACTTCACCCAGGTTCTCCTTCATAGAACTGAGCTGCTCTCTCAGTTCTGGTAGAATCTAAACTTCTCTTTAGACCTTATTTAGTTTTCAAGATAGTTCTTAATTTTAGAGCTCTAAGTATTGTATTTCATTAAATAGCTTTTGTTCTTGCAATTCTTAATCCTTGCTTTATATCTCCAGTTCCTGTATTCTCTCGAGAAGAGTAACTCAATCTTCCTTCATAAATTCAACTTCACTTGATAGTTTCTTTTTCTCAGAAACAAGGACTTATACACGAGCTTTAAGCTTTTAAGGACAGTTCTATGCTTTGTCTACCTATGAATTTTCTTTTAGACTCTTGTCCTTGTTTTTTAGCATGTTGTCTCTAGGCATTTTCAAATTATACAAATCAGTTATCGAGGTAATAGAACTCTTTCCCTTTTGTTTTATCTTTTAAAGATTTAATTTCTAAGAAGGGGATGGTAGTCTCATCTAATCTACGATGAAAACTTAATCATCATCATCTATAGCATTCATTTTTTAAGGTTAAAGCATTTGGTTTGGTGCTATTGAGCTAGTCTTGATATTTGGAGAGTGTGATTGGGTGGGAAATAGAATGCTTTGATTTCTCTTGTTAATAACTTGAGATTTATTTTCTTATAGTACAAGTTTCTCCATTATTAATAGTTAAGATTTCAATTAATCAACTTCTTTTGTGTATTAATTCATGCTCTGGAGTTTTTCAGTAATTTCCTTAATCTTATGATCTTTATCCATCAAGCTTGAATTGAGATGTTGAATTTGCATGTGTTAGTTAACGATGAGATCTTAGTATGAAGGGTTCAAAGTAGAATTATTGATACTGTTTAGGCTATTCTCTCTTGTATGCTGACTCTTTTTTATCTTATTTAAATAGCTACTTTAAACTTAAGAGGTCTTAGTGTCTGTCCCAACCGATTATTAAAGATCATGCAGATTCAATTCCCTTGACTAGTCCAGAAGTGTTTGAATTAATAAACGCTTTCTATCTTCCATTTAAATTTTTTATCTGTTTAAATTATTTCACTCTCTACTTTCATTATTTAGACATTAAGGGGTTTTGGGGTTTTGGGGGTTTTGGGGTTTTGGGG